CAATTTTGTTGACTCCTCCCATCGAGTTGTCGCAACTCCGCGTTATCGCAACTGTGAGAACGGCCGAGCTTTATCTTCACGCATGCGCTCATCCGCGATTTTGATAAATAACTCATTAATTATCACGAATCTCACAAAATGGCAAAGAACTTTTCGAATCGGCACAACTCGTTCTGCACAATCTATCTTCAATAAATGATGCGGTTATTACTGAATGCATATAATTTTTAGTTTTGCTTTTTTCCGTACACATATTATGGAAAAAGACTGTCCTCGTGCTGTGACATAAATAATATTTAATTTGTTACACTTACACTTAACAATTTGGGAACATTAATTGCAATTATATCAAATATTATAGCTATATAAATTGCATTAAAAAGCGATCGGTTTATAAGAGCTGATATGTGTGTGGGTTACACTTTTATTTGACGCAACCGGAGTTTTTGTGAAGAATGTCAAACCGATTATGCTATTTCTTCTTCGACGTAGATTTCTTGAACACGCGCCGCAGCGCGTCCAAGAAACGCGTACGTGCCAATAGTAAGAAAAGATAAAGTCCGTTATAGATAAGCGAGTGATCGATATAAGGCGAGACGTGGTCTCGTGTAGCCAAGGAGGTCTTAATATGCAAAACAAAATATTATAACAGAGATACATATATATTATATATATATACAATTATTTTTTGTAACCAATCCTAAGTAATAAACGGACTTCTCAACAGGTCCGCGTGATTATACAGTAAACTTACTACTATTGTATATCGTATATGTATATGTAATTATTAAAAATCGTTCACCACAAGTCTATACACAAGAACTTCTATTTAGAAGTCACTATATTTTGTGTACGTAGTAATGCACGTTACATTGCGTAGCTTTAATAAGTTCTAGTCCGCAAACGATTATTCTTTAAATAATGTGCAATCTCTTGTAATCGCGCGGAATCGATCATTATTGTAAAATATTGTAATCTAATGTAAAAGAATGACTGTCCGTAATAAAGACAAAAATATTTATTCACCTAAAATAAAATATGGTCTCTGGCGTATATTCCCCTCTTTCTCTCTCCCTCTCTCTCTATCTTATGTCCTCTTTTGTGATTTTCACTAACTTTCGAATCTGAAAAAATAAATTATATAGTTTAGTATACAATTCTCTTTTTCTCTCTTTTTTTCTCTCTCTATATATATCTCTTTTGCTAGTTTTACTTACTTCTGCATTTGAAAAAATAGCTCGGTGAAAAGAAAGTTTTAATAATGAAGTCATCGCCGTAAATTGCTATACTTTGATTTGTTTTCTTCGTCCACAATGACCCGGTATTTATCACTTGTCCTTCTGAAACTTACGTCAACAGCATGATATGTACGTGTCGCTATTCACGCGTCGCTTTGGACATTGCCCCATGCATGGGCGTCTACAGGATTTTTTTCAGAGGAGGGCGGAGCAATTTTCTTGTCCCAAAAATTATGAATTTTACAGAAAGGTTTCACTGTACAGAGAGTTCTTTTCACAAATAGATGTATGATTTAATTTGTTAACCAGGGATTTCAAACTTATTTCAAGATAAAAAACACAATTTGTGAAAAAACTTGCCTTTTCAGGAGGACAAATGTCGGGTTTGCCCCGCCCTGCAGACGCCCATGGTCTCATGTATCTTTTACGTCTGTTTTCAGATGGCACAATGATGGGAATATTATGTTGTCTCTTCTCCCTTTCCCTCTCTCTCTCTCTCCTTCTTTTTTCTCTGTGTCCTTGTACATTATAATTGTTATATTATTATATTATATCATATTAATGTTTATGTAATTATTTTTATACACATTTTTTGTTTTCTATATACATATATTTATTTAAGTATTGATTTACCTTCATGTGTAAAAGTATTAACGTCTCTGCTTGTACATAATGCTCCGGAAATAAATTATTTCAGATGATTGTACTTTGTCATCTTTGTGATCGTCTCTTTTTCTCGTCGCTTTCAGCAGAAAAGACGTTGTACAATCGTGCATGATTTTACTCCAAGAAAGTTTTTAGAAGTAATTTTTTAAACAGTTAAAAATAAAATACAAATTATTATACACACTAATTGTAAACAAAAAATCTTTTAAAAAAAGTGTTTGGTGAAATATGAAAAACTTAACAAACTATTGATTTTGACTCGAAGTGACACATTGTAAAATACGTGTTTATTGTGTAAGTGATTGATTAGATAAGAAAAAAAACTAAAACTATTGCCCGCAAATTGTTAATTAATCTTTAATTAATTGTTACTTAATTATTAATAAATTAATTTGTGACTTTTTGCAGAAACGCCTTTGTGTTCTCTAATGAAAAACGCACAAGATGCGCGATTGCAAACAAGTAATCGAGCCGCACAATAAACACATCAGCACGATAAGGTTTGTTATTAAAGTATTAATTATTTAAAACATGTGACTCTTACATAATACAATTTATGTTCGGAAGACACTTGGCGAAATTTAGATGCCGTTATCTTTTGAGATTGAGATTAACGCGATCTGTCACTTCGTTTTTTTCGCGTTTTTCACAAATTATTGATACTTTTTGTTTAAATAATATAATGCACTAGACTTGAAATTTAAAACATCATTAAGCTAAAACACCAGTGACTCTCAATCCGTACACTCAATCCATACACTTTACTGTACTTTTATGCACTCGCAAAATTGTTTAAACTTTAAATATTTTAACTATTTTCTTATTATTCATGACACACACAAAAACAGGTTATTAATTAAAAAATTAGCACACTGTTACACTATACATGTATTACATTTTTAATGTTTATATATATAAATAAATTTTTATTTTTTATTGTTAATTTATCTTATTGTCCATTTTACACTAGGTTTATATGCAGTATAGATGGACGATTTAGTAACAAAAGTTACTAAAAGCTGATTGGCTCTTACTTGTTCAAGCTTACCAACTCGAGATTGGCGCCAACTTGCAAGATAGTCCTATGTCAAGTTGTAAAATCAGTAAACAAACATAATGTCAAGATATAAGGAAGGTTTCTAACTTTCTCTTGGTAAATATTTTCAAAGTTAAGTGTAATGTTTAAGTGTAATTGTTAAATAAATTAAAAAAATCAGTAAAAAACATTCATTTAAGTAAACTTAAATTGTAGTGGTGATTTTTCGTGATTGCATGAAGGTTAGTTTTGCTGCTAATCGCATTGAGAGCAAAGTTTTATTTATTAAAATTTGTAATTCAGTAGATTGTGAAAATATACACATAAAAAAGTAATTTTCTATCATCAGAAGGCTCGGACAAAGAAAAGGATCATGCTGAAAGATATCACACTGGGGTGCCAAAGGGACAAAGGGACAAAGGGACAAAGGGACCTGAAATGCTTTTTTCACAAAACGAAAAGTAAATAGGTACAACAAATATCTTTTAAAGTAATTGTGTGTCAAACACATTGATTTTAAGACAAAAGAAAGCAGCTGGAATACAAATTGTTTTATATTAAACAAAGATCATATTCAACTAAACCTTTTAGTATTTTTTATATAAACATATTATGGTCAAAGCAATAAATTTCATTTCAATTGCTTTCTTTTGTGCTAGAAGCCATTGTGTTTCACACACACTCAGTTATAAGAAGTGTTAATGTTTCTGCACATTGCTTGGAACAACATTGTAGTTTCGAGAAGCATAGAAAATACATCAAGCTTTGAAAATCATGTTTGATATATTATAATTATATACTATACTGTTAAGAATTTTATTTATATTATAGTATTTTATGATATATTGTTATTTACATTATAATATTATTGCTTTCAGGCAGAGAAAATGAGATAAACTTACCATTAGAAAATGAGACACACATTCATTTTATGAAAGAAGTGATAACAGTGGCAAGCGACCAGCAGAGGAGGGAACAAATGGCCAGAAGGCGGAGCATCATGGCACACGCTGATAATAACAAATAGTCTGAAATATACTTATACGTAAGTCTGAAATATACTTATATAATTTTTTTAATACAAATATATAAACGTTTATTTTTCTTTTCTTTGTCTCTCTAAGAAGTTAGACCTTTTTTTATAGTGTTTATAAAACTGTTTTATTACATTTCTAGGTTCTCATCTCTTTCGGAGTAATCCAGCTGTGAAGGGACAAAAAAAACAGCTGAATTGTAGTCGACGTGCAGATATATGGCGTAGACAGAGTGAAAAATGGTGAGCAAGTAATACGTGCGTTTAAATGTGCTGGCAAAAATATAATTCATTTATCTGTTTCACAAAATCTCTCTTTCTGTTTAGGTAGAAGCTATAAAGAATATGAAGAAATAAGGAAATATTTTAATAGAAAATGTGCCAAACGAGTCAACGCAATTTTTAAAAGCTTTGTGCACAAATTACAAACCTCCGAATAAGCCTCTTGTGGATCAAGTACATGTCTATCGATTTTAACTACAAATAATAAAACATGTAAGATTTTTTTTCATTGAAATTTTCTCTATCTGTTTTCGGCAGGACGCGTTAAATGGCTACACAGTGCAGCAAATTGATAAGGCCAATCTTGAGGATTTTATTTGTCTGTTTCTAAATAATTCCGAGCGACTCGTGGAGTTCCTGGAGCACTTAGTTAAATCGGATACAAAGTGATTACATATATTTTGTGTACAAAAGATCATTTTTTATATTGTAAAGCTGACGTTTTTTCTTGTTTTTGTAGATGGAATACGCTTGTGTACAACACATTAGTTGAACATTATTTGCACGTCTGGTCGGCTCTGAACAGTGACGTGGCTAAGGTGCAATATGACCAAAAGATCGTGCGGCTTCTGTAGGATTCCGAAGCGCGTTACGACAAAGATCAAATATTAGTACTTTGTCATCAGTATAATTTCAGGAAAGGATTGCTCTTCCTTTACGAAGAGAGCAAATTGTAAGCCTCGAATCTCGTATATTCATCTTATGAAAAATTCGAATATTTCCAATAAAAACAATCAGTTTGTGTTTATCAAGAGACATTGAGGTTATCACTCCGCGAAGAAGACAGCGATCAAGTTCTGCCCACGCGCAAGAAGTTCGGCCATCACGATTTCAATTTGTGCGTGCTCTATGGAGCGTGACTAAACACAAGGACGCCCCGATGAAACTTCTCGCCGACATATTGGCTTATATCGGTGAACACCCGCTTGAATTTGTCTCAATTGCGTGTTCTTGGGAAAATGAGCGAATACGGTGTAAATTATTATTTTTGCAGCTCAAGAAAGACTGTTATCCTCTTTGATGGTTATCGATGCGATTTCCGCGTCGTTGACCTGTACGTTGGGTGACGTTAGAAGTTACACTTGTATAGCGTGTTGCGAACGGAGGACGAACAAACCCAAGCAGACGCCGATCTAACGGAAAAATATAAAAGCCGACACTTTAAAATTACGAAAACAAATAGAAGCGATAAAAAACAGCACGATAATCTTTCAGGGATCGCGCTGTAGCGCGTGCCATCATCAATTGGAGTTACCGTCGGTGCATTTCATGTGTCAACATTCGTATCATCAACAGTAAGTTCTTTAATATTAATTCGCCGTGATTCGTTCGCTTTGATTTTATTGTTTGATTTTTTTCGCCGCAGTTGCTTTCAAAGGTTTTCGGAAAACAAAAACGAGTGCCCTGCCGAACAACAAGAAACTTCTTGACATCATAGGAGCAGTGGAGAGACCTGTACGACACGTTTCACCGTCTTCTCGACCGCATGGAGGACCTGTTTTCCTTGGTAGCTAATTATTTCGGCAAAGGCGTTTTCAAAAAACTTACCGTATTCACCAATTTGGACAAGTCGTTGCTCACGGCGACCAAGTTTGAAGAGCCCAAGTTGAATCATGGTCCGGGTGCGGAAGCGAGGCTCAGGTTGAACGAAGAGAAGAGTTCGATCTCAGGTACGACTCGATGTATCATTTGAAATAGCGCGCGAAGATCAACATCAAATCAATGTGTATTTTTCTGCTTCTTTTTTTTCACACGAAAAGCAGATCGACGAGCTGTATAAGACATGTCTACGTTGATAACGAAAGTGTTACCGAGATTTTGCCAAGTCGGATGTGTATTTCTCGCGTACTTCCACATTTCTTTTACAAAACAGTATTTTATAACAATTAGCATAATGGCGAGAATTTAGTTTGATCTACTAATTAGTTTTTAGTGTCAAATGTGGAATGATTAATTAACCTTAAATTTTAAGTACTGACTTTTTTGTTCACCTTGCGAGATACAAGCGCCAAGTATTCTCATATGCTATACTAATTTCTAAAACTGTATTTTGAAGATTCATTTATAAATAAGTACCAAAGATCTAATTGTGAATTAAATACATTTCATCAAAAGTTAAAAATATGGGAGAATAATTACCTAAACAAAATCACTAAAATATGTTCTTTATTGTTCAACATGTCTGTAAAAAAGTTTACTTTGAAGTTTGCAACATTCTAAAAGATTGTATGAATTTTTACTTTAAAGATGATCCAGAACTAATGTCTTTATTCGATTTGTTTTAGTTGTCCAGTTACCAAAAGAAGTTCCAGTGAAAGACCATCAACAAGAAGCAAAAGAAAAATTGTTTCAGAAACATTTATTGTTGCGTTGTATCGAATATCTCAGTTATATATTGATAGTGTTATTGATATTATTTTAATTGTTTTTTAAATTTATTGTTAACAGTACTTATTTTTAAACACTTAATATATATATATATGTATATAGAAACATATCTTTCTTCAAATAGTCAATAAAGACAAAATATTTATACTTAAAATCTACAGTCTAGTCTAGAATATATATTTCTTTGCTCGAGGATGGAAAAAAGGAAGTGTGAAGGATGAAAAAATCTTTGTATAACAAATTTTTAATCAATATTTTATGACATATTTATTTATATAACATTATTATATTTGTAAAGTGGGAACGGCCAATGTGAGCGGCCTAGAACACAGTTAGTAGTGTGTATGTGTATTTTTGAAACTCTCTTTATTTAAATAGTTAACGTTTCGATCCTTGGGTGGGATTCTCTTCAGAACTACAACAAATAATTAAATAAATAAGTTCATTTGACACACGTACAATGTACACATACATACTACTCACATTGGCCGTTCCCACTTTACAAGTTTTTGTTTTACAAAATTCGAGCCTTTTACGTTTTTATAATATTATTATATTTATTATACAATATATCTCTTGAATAATCGAGTAAAAATATTTCTAACAATATACGTGCTTTCATTTAGAAACTTTTGATGTAGAATTTAGAAAACTTGGTACAAAAGACTAAAATCATTTTTAATCTGAATTATATCGACATTAGAATAATTGAAAAGAACATTTGATTTTCATGTTATAGTAACACATAATATTATTTTAACTTAAATTATACGCATATATTATTTTAACTTAAATTATACGCATAATATTATTTTAACTTAAATTATACGCAGAAACATTCGATCTGACAATAAGTGAATTTCATTACATTGTGTCTTATTTGAACATGTGTGAGAACATTTCAAATAAGCAAGATTGCTTTACCGTGATAGACAATTACGAATAAAGAATCGATTATGATTAACGCCACAAATCAATATTAATATCGCAATGATAAGGCAGCACCTGTTACAACACCTGTTGTTTTGCAACGATAAGAGATGGCGGGTACAACAACCGGACAAGCAAGAAATCAATATAAACTGTATTCGCCAAGTGGTGGGGGTTGAAAACGGGTTAGCACAAAGAGGGTGAAGAACAACCCCCATGAGGAAGACGGGCGCTGAAGCCATTCGGAATCGCAGTTTAGCACTCATGCCAGCAACAACGGTAGATATGCCGTGATCCCGGTAACTCAGTGATCCTTCTCCCTATCTGTCTGTCTCTCTTCATTATTACATTTGACCTTTTTGTCTCTCCTGGTTTTTTGGTAGGTCCCAAATTATTGTTCCCCAAAATTGCAGTGCGCATATGTTTTATATTCTCAATGGTGAATCAATAATCAAAGTGACAGTGGGTATCACGACCGTGTCCCCGGGCCAAGATGTCGGTGAAGGTGAGTCCTCCCTCGCATGTTGAGTTCGTTCGCGGTCATCGTCTTTCTGTCCGCGATAAGAGCTTTGTGCGCGCGATAAGCGCTTCCCGGCTTCCCGGGACGGAGAGTTCCGGTTCTGACAACTCCGGATAGAAAGACCTGATAAGAGATCGTTCCTCGTTGTGGTAGCAATACTCCCCGTTGTGTAACAATTGTGCATGATACGCAAAGATCTGATTAATAACATTTTTATTGTAGGATGTGTGCTGCGATGCGGATAAAATAAATTGAAGGTCCTGCGTGAGACATTTCTCTCGGCTTAGCGAGGATGAAATCTAATAAAAGCAATTAAGATAATCAAGTAGGCAATTAACTAAACTGCTTTTTTATGTGAGATTTTTCCTCTCTTCCTCTCTATTTCTATATTTATTTCGAGTTGATCTTATTTGCCTAATAAATTTTGTGTAAAGTCGAGGACGTTTCTCGTCGCATCTCTATCAAGAAAAGATCAAATCTTCTTAACTCTTTGTAAATATTTTTGAGTATATAAATACATTCGAAGATATATATTTATAAATGATAAGAACAAATTATCGCAATTATAAAACCACAATATTTGTCGTAGAAATTATCTACACAGTGTAAAGAGATTAGACAAATTCGTCGCTTGCGATGACACGCCGCTTATTCGACGCAACAATTCGTATCTCTCTCATATTTATGCAACTAGAATATGCAGCGATTATCTGTATCGTATACGCGCGCATATATACATACATAAACAGTCTCAAGAGCGTACATGTATAAAGTGCCTTTAAAGTTGCACTAAATGATTTTTTATTGCGTTTAAAATATTATTGATACGCAACTTTGTGTGAGAAGGCGTACGCCTCCTAATTGAATATACGCGTATGCAGCGTTGCAGTCGTGTACGTGTACATACAGTATCGGCGTACTTTATATTAAAAAACAAATGTTCTATTGTTTTTTAAATAATGCGAATCTAAAATTGACGCAATTGTTAGGCGCAAACATAATCGCAAATTTTTTTATAAATAAATGTACAAATAAAGTTTACAAACAACAAATTTTATTATAAATAATTTTATTTGTTTATGATAAAAGCAATTATATGAAAAAACACTCGATAGAAAATTGTCTCTACTGTAAAAATAAAAATTATTTTTATGTGGCAAAATTTAATTTTCAAGTTTCCAATTTTTACATGAGATACACGCATTTTGTCAGATCGATAGTTTCTAAATATTATTTCTTTTCACAATCTCGCAAAGCAGGACGACCGTATTATAATACGGTCTGTAATTCGTTGATCTCGTTACGGGTTAATGTCTGCGCACGGTCGGCCGTCAAGTCGCGAAATGTTTTAATAGCACAATAACAGCCTCACAAAGTGTCCATTTCCTGTTGAGGTAAAGATAAAACAACGACGACCGTATATATACTTGGCGCGTGCGTGTTTCGGACGCGCGCTTTTTTGCACGCACTTTTTGCCGGAAGCGAACCATGTGAAGAAGCACCACGTAGTCGGCGCGGCACCGGTGCGGCTTTGCGTGTTACGCACATTTCTTTCTACGTGGAACATTGCGCAAAATTACATAGACGTCATCGCGAACTAAGCGTGCGTGTGAAAAAGTGCGACGCTCGCTCGGCCGAACTTACTTAATAAAAAAAAAAAACGAGGGCGGACTCGATAACATCGTCTCATGACAATATCTGACAAGAAAGAAATGTTTTTAGAGAACAAGAAAAATCGGTCAATGAAAAGGTCACACAGTTTTGAAATTTCGTGCTTTTAACGAACACACACGTCTCGCACATTTGCGAACAATTTCCATCCAATTGTGTTCTCTAACAGAATCAAATTGTAAGTAATTTAAAAACAAGTTTATGTACACATGTGTGTGCATGTGTGTGTATGTCATGTGATGATGTCCTTCGTAGAAAGAGAAGAGGAACAGTATAATATTACAAATCGAAGCGCGTGCAATGCAATCGTCAATCTATCATCTGTTTCCGTTCACGATGACGTAAATGATATCGGCAAATCTTATCTATTAAACGGAGACCGCAAGTCAACGGACGCAATTTAACGAACGAGGAGAAGAGATGTGCGCGCGTTCGCGCATTTCTCGTTGCAACGCGAATGCATCAGTTCGGCCGATGCAATCTTCTGCAGCTCTTCGAAAAAACATCGGATAATACAAATTCACGCGTAGACCGACTGATAGAAACGCACCGTTACAGAAAGAACGAGAGAAATGTTGAATAAACGATCGACGCCAGCTTGATATTATCTGCGAACGCGCCTTTATAAAATCGTTTGTGTATAGCATATATTCGAGGACGACGTATTTTTAGTACGGTCTAAAATCGTAACTGCGAAGATTCGTGAGTGAGATTTGCATCTTCAACGAAGTCATTACGGAAACTGTTTCACAGCGAAGTGCGCGCGTGTCTCCGGTATTGTTGTCGACGACAAACCGCTATCTTATCTCATTCAAATTTCGTTATTTCTCACAACGCTCGATATTTCTTCTCGACGCTTGTATAAAAATGAGCCAAGTCGTGATTACGAGATATTTAACATGTTTTTTTTGTTTTTCTTTTTTTTTTTTGAGTGCTAATAGAAAAGTTTTTTAAAAGTTGCTCACCGCCTCTTTGGTTTTTTTCCTCTGTTTTTAACAACATTTAGTAAAAAAAAAAGAAATGGATCATTAAAAATTAATTAAAGAAAGAGATCTGATTTGCAGTTGCTCTCTTATCTGCGGAAAAAGGGAGGAAAATTTATGAAATTTATATTCATTACGCCTTCAGTCTAGTCTCCAGCTTTTTGATTACACAATATTCGGATTATCCGCAGAAAGAGGTAAATGTGTTTTACATGTTGCACGCGTCCAGTGACGTGTGACCAACAAGCACTTCATCCGCAAGATGAAGCTGACAGTTGGCAAAACCCAAACAACACAAATGAAATAGTCGAACTGCCCTTGGACTCATCTCGTCCTACTTTCTACAATTTTGTCGGGTGAAATGTCACTCTAAACGATTAGATTATTCACTCTATGCGATGATGACCGGCCGCTCGTGATTAGCGAAAATTAAGCAGACACATTTAGCCAAAGCATTTGTTTTCGCAACAACGGCGAATTAATTGCTTCCGGAGCGATTAATGATGACGCCATTTCGATAAATCAAGCAACATTTTGGTCGATTTGCCAAATTGACGTCATTCCGGGAGCGAGCGATTCAACCTGCGAAAACAGCCATTAATTCTGACCGTGAGTGTGTCACCCGTTTCGAGTGAATAATTATCACATAAATATTTATTTTTGTAATTTATGTCTTTGGGTATAAATCTCTTTCTTCATTTATCCCAGGTTGTTAATAATCTCGGTAAACGGCTCGTAGAGAAATCACTTCGACTATGAAAATCGAAGCTGGAATCTCCTAAGCTGATGCTCTATCGATTCAATCACTTGGCGACGGTTATTGCAAAACCACTACACTCTTTCATCAGATATGCTCATTCACTCTTCACGCGAATGAAAATATTTTGCTCCACAGAGTAAAATATTCGTTCTACAACCAACAGAAAGTGGAAGAATTCACGCTCCGTATATGAGAGAAAAGTCGGATCTAACTCTAAAAATTGAATGACTCGAGGATCATTTAATTTTTCGCAATTTTATTCAAAGAAATTTTAGAGAGCATCGAGCAAATATACGTAGCATTCTTCTAAATTTGCCGAACAATTTGCCGAAAATCTTTATCTCTTTCCGAACTTCGCAATAATGCATAAGTTATGAAATCCGTGCGCGTAAAGAGATAACTCAGCCTCGTTTCGCGCGTGCATGGTTGCCGGAGAATACGCGTGCGGATCTCTACATATATATTAATAATTCATTAATTATTGCGAAACTCGCAAAATGGTAAAGGATTCTTCGGCACAACTCGCTTGTCCACGAGAGGTGACATTACCGGACATTCCGATATATACAAGGAAGTTCGTATAACTGACCAATATAAATATTTTAAGATACATAAAAAGTTGAAGATATAAAAAAAGTCTTTGCGCAAAACATATTTGATACCAAAGGATGTCGATAGAAACGATTTTTTACAGGTAGAGGCATTAAAAAAGGGAAAGAGTGGCCCGTAAAAATCGCCCGTTTTGGGGTTCTCAAATTTTTAACCAAATAGTTAGATTGTTAAACCAAATAGTGCTAAATAAAAAATAGTTTATGATGAGATATTGAAGACAACTTTTAGATTGAACCTACTGTTCGTTTCGAAAATAAAAAACATGTATATGTCGACATATATGTGTCATAAAACATATATGTGTCATAATTTCGTCACTCCCTACGTATAATTACATAAGTGTTACATATGGAATTTTCAGTTTATTGCATAGTGACACTTAGAAAGTCATGTTCTTTATGGTCACCAAATATTTAAAACAAATATTCATAAGTAAAGTAAAAATTTAAAACCAAAAGATCCCTAAAATGTTGAATTACATCGTGCAAGGATATTTATAAAATGAAGCTTCGAGAATGTATTAGCTCGGTGCATGCGCACATATTATTATCGACACATACTAGTTCGTCAATATATATTTAAATTTTAATACACGTACATTTATTTTTTTTCACGTGCTTGGTATTATTCAAACATATTAAATTGAATTAAAAAAATCTTTCCCTTTGTTCCAAAAGGATATTCTAAACACTTCCAAATTCCAAAACATTTCACATGCATGTTGATACATATCCTGATGTTTCGAGAGCAACACTGTGTCGATAAAAACCAGAGCAGTACGAGAGAAAGATAGCACTACGTTACGCTGTGTTATCTATAGACAATATAGAACACATGTTCTGGTTTGAGAAAACAGCCTAAAAGCCTGACGCGAACAGTAACTTGTACCACAAGCACTTGTTCTACGAGGATTCCTGTTTCGCAGGAAGTAAAGTTAAAACAGATAACAGTTTGAAACACAGATGAGATATAATTGAATTGTCCTTATCCAGAGCTATCTTGCTATCCTCGACTATCTAAAAGCAACATCAACATAACTTTGTGAGAGAATTTTTGAGAAATATTCGAAAATTATTCAATTTGCAATTAAATCGTTTTTACCTCTCGTGAGGTAGAGAGTAACGTAACTCTCTGTATCTCTCGTGAGAGTTATGTCGAATCGAAAATCTTTATCCGAACTTCGCAATAATGCATAAGTTATCATGCGATATGATTATCATGCCGACATTTTGTACATATTCCCAAAGCAACATTTAATTCAATCAATTATTTCCAACCAACATTTCATGATTATTCGCTGTACCATAACATAGCACACAGAATAGATAACTAAACTGCTCCACTAATATTGATATCGTGCATCAATATTTGAAATAGGACTGCTGCATCTTATTTTATTTTCACATGGCAAACATCGAGTACGAACACAATTTTCTCTGCTGCGCAGATAAGATACGAGCGATAAGTAATGTAAATTTTTCACATGAGAATTGTGTCAACGAAAAATTGTGTCTGTTCCGATAAGAGTTTTACCGTGTGACTAACGCAATTGTTAATTAGTTTAAAATAATCGGCACGGAAAACCGGAGATTCCAGGTTCGACTCCTGGTCGACGTGTTTTTTTTTAGCAATATTTTAAAATTAGTTAGGGGGATATACAAAATCTATACGTGATGCAAATGCAGCATCATATACGAATTTACAAATTAAAATTTCAATTCTAAAACCTCACGTGTAAGAATTTACACGTGAATATAATAGAATACATGCAGTATGCAGTATTATTAATATAATAGAATACATGCAGTATAAAAACTAAAGCAGTATAAAAACAGTTCATCAAAAATTAAAACTACGGTGAATTTTTTCCCATACATATATATTTCCGCAACAAACACCCAGCATATGTGGCTCTAATGACCGATTATATATTTATATATTTATATATTTCAACGATAGTTTGTAAAATTTAAAGAGCCTAAAACTCATTATTATTAATGTTTAAAAAAATCGTAATAGAAAGGATATTAAAAAAAATTGTCTCTCAAAAAAGTCACTTGAGAAGAATTACATAAAAAAGAAGCGTTTTTTCTTTCTTTATCTCACCGGTCAGTTACGTAAAATGTCTTAGCATGAGCAGTTTTTTTTTCATGATTTTACATAGGTTATCATGTGATCCCGTTGCAAAGGTGAAGGTTTCGAGTACATCGTGTATTATATAAATGTTTTTGTATTTTTATAAACTCTTCGTGTGCGCAACCGATTCTTACATTTTGTGTTCTTCTATTTGCAATTTATTTTAACTTTAAATTTAAATTTTTTTGAAGGAATAATCCTGTAACACACATCCAGACCCAGTTCACTGGTGATACCAGAGCAAACTATTATGAAATAATATATCTCCTATCTAGAGATTTGTTCTAACGTGACCAAAGCGTAAACAGATCGAACGCGTATTTTGTTACATTACTACTTTTTTATTATTATATATGCACATGCAGAGAGACATTTGTTTGGTTTAAAATATTATCTTGGTATTCGATGTACGCGTACATATTCTACGCATCTTTTTTATAACAACTACTTAAATTTGTTATATATATTTTTATAACAAATATAAATTATACGGATCATATATAGCTCTTTTAGCATTTATTTTTATAAAATAAATAATAAGACCAGTAAGAGTTAAGCGCTGGATACGTGTGAAATATTTTTTCAATGTGTAAATTAACACGCATTGCAATTCGAAAACTACATCGGATATTTGGTTTCCGTCTCGTGTACAGAAACATTTCTTTTATGTGATTGTAATTCTTTGTTTTTTATCTGACTGTTAAGCAGATGACGAGATACAGGCAGGCAGAATTTGAAGATGAGGACAGTAGCAGCATTGGATCGGTTGCTCTGAATAGCGAAGGGATCAGTACATCAGCAACACACATACGATATCATACAGTAAGCTTTTCATCTCAAAAAAAAGAAATTCAGAGTCTCCATTCTTGAACAATTTTTTTTTATACATAAAAAAACATGAAACATGTGTGCGCTTAAATTTTCATACGTAAGAAAACCGAGCCCGTAGGTGATTATTGTTTATATTTGACATTATAATAAGATTAGTCTTACGAGCCGATCGCAGCCAATGATTGGCACTTCAAAGACTCGTGAAATTTGTTTTTTTTGAGAGTATCAACTAAAAGATTCTAAAATAATGTGTTGTCATAAAACAATTCAAATATATATATATGTGTATATATATATATATATATATATATATATATAT